TAATTGCAGTCGCGTAGTTGTTGTAGACGGTGAACACACGGAGAAACTGGATGAGTGCCGACACTCGCCAACCAAAAGAGGGGTAAAAAATAAACGAGTATGCCCAAAAATAGTACTATTCGTCGCCAACGCTTAGAATTTGAGAGCCCGTTGTCGACGAAAAGTGGCTACATTATACAAATAGCCATCAGAGAAACTCGAGCTACTGGGGCAGCATGCGCCCAAGCTTTCCTCCATCAGGCTACGCAATTGTGTCTCTTCAGCTGGAGACTACAACGATTGACGCCTTACTAGCCGAAGCTAGAACACGCACATACACCCCTGTTTTTCGAGAAGTTGGAGGCGCTAGTGATGACCCATTTCGGAGTCAGTCACGCGCCGTACGCATGACCTCTACACTACGTGTAGCTGCCAAATCAATTCAAGAGGAAGCATTAGTCCGCGACGAAAGGTACGTACCTTGCGTATTTTCCTACATGCACTCTCGTCCTGGTGGAGCTGCTCAAGAGGTCCATCAAGATTACACGGCCGAAGTGGGGGCTTCTATCGAGAACAAGTTTCCTGGTACACTTCCTGCGAGTGTTATTGTGGCATTGGAAGAAAACACAAGACTACGCGTTTTCACGGGGTGCTTCGAATACCCGAGCGCTCGAAAAGAAGTGGTATTGAGCATACCTCGCGGTTATGCTATCGTCTTTCGTGGAGATCTATTTCATAGTGGGGTTGCATTCAGTACTTCAAACTACAGACTTCATTGTTACCTATTTTTCAGAGGTGAGAAATGGATCCCTGATGTGGTTTTTAACACGTTTTTGTGTGCCAATTTTGGCGGGCACACTGACAGCGTTTCGGATCGTATTCGCCAGCATCGGTACTACTGCGAAAGCAATCCAGCCGCAGAAGAGCACCGTCTATTACGACGAGAGAGACAGAACCGCCGCGATGAACTACCTTGTGCCGAGTGTGATATGATTTTCTCAGTTGCAAGTACGTTGCGCTCTCATGTTGCTGCAATACACAGATAGATGATCATTAAAAATTAATATCATTTCGTTGGATGCATATTTGAAGCTGGCTATTTAACTTAACTATCATTTCATTGGATGCATATTTGAAGTTGACTTCAAGTTGACAAAAAACATTACTAAAAGTTGACATAAAACTTAACTTAAAGATCCAATGTAATAGTAGCGCAGGTAGAATTAAAGTGCGAAGTAAACAGATGTAATATTGGACTATCATTTCATTGGATGCATATTTGAAGTTGACTTCAAGTTGACAAAAAACATTACTAAAAGCTGACATAAAACTTAGCTTAAAGATCCAATGTAATGGTAGAATTAAAGAGCTATGGCTTTCGTGGCAGTAGCAGCTTGCCCTGCGTTGTTTCTGCTTCTTTCTGGTGCTCACTATCCAAAAAAAGCTTGTTCGCGAGAGCTTGGAAGGACGCGTACCTGCTGCTTCCTTCTCCGGTGTCTTGGACTGGCACCTTGGTTTTCTGACGCGACGATGTAGAGGTTTGCGGACGCTCTGACGTGGGCTGAAATTGTTGCTCGAGTTTGTTGAGCCGGTAATGCTGGTTGTTGAAAGTCTGCAACAACTGGTTGACGATGCCGTGCAGTCGATCAACGGATCCAAGAAGCTCGCGATTCTCCTGCAGGATGCTCTGCATCTGCATCAGTTGAGCTTGGTTGATTTCGACTTGGGTGGTGTCTGTGACGGGCACTTCTACTGACCGTACAGCAAGGTGAACCTGCTCTAGCTCGCTGAACTTATGAAAGAAGTAGCTCTGCAATCTGGAACTTTGGTCCACTTCTCGCTTGAGCTCTTGATTAAAGTGGGCGCGTGAATCCTTCAGCACCTGCTCGGCCTTGGCTCTGAAATCGAAGAGCTCGTTCTTGTGCACCTCTAAGCAGCCATCCATAGTTCTCTTGAACAGCTCCACATTCTCGGCGCATATCTGCTCGAAAATACGCCGATTATTCTTGATCGCTTCACGCACCATTGAACACGCCGTCTCTACTTTGTCTGACGGAGAAAGCTGCTGATTCGAGACGACCAATTCGCACGCCGGTTTGGCCATGAATGCGTTCGCTGAGACTCGAGGCTGTCGAAGTGCTGCTGGTAACACCACTTGTCAACGGCCATCCTCTCTTCGAAAATTTGCTGCAGCGCGAGGACGATGTTGAACGTGGTCTGCTGACCGCCGATCAGCATCTCGATCTGCAGTTTGTTGTCCTCAACCCTGTCGGCGTACTTTCGTTTGCGCCGTAGCCGTAGCTCCTTGACACGTGCGAGGGAGCTACGCCACAGCGCGTCGACGAAATCGCGCCGTAGCTCCTTGTTGTCGAGCAAAGCACCTCGACGCAGGCATGCCAGCTTCAGGGACATGTCGTCCAGTTTAGAAACGTGATCCTCGAAGGCAGCCTTGCCGTGACTGGTGCCAAATCCGTCGACGTACGCGTCTACATCCAGCGGCATCTTGTCCACTTGTGTCACCGAAAATTTTTGGAAAACGTAGGCCTTCGAGACAGCGGCCTTAACGAACGTGGGCATTGGGGGAACCTGATGACCTGCCGGGGGCGAGCTGGCTGTGATATGATCCATATCGGCAACTTTCTGCCACCCTGGAGAATGTTTCAGAAATGCTGCTTGCGGCGTGTCCCTAGCCAGAAGAACTTGGGAGGGCGAGATGCAAAGCAACTCCCTCCTTTCTTGGTCTTGGTCGTCGTAGAAGGGAAGTATCATTCCCAACTCCGTCGCCTTGAGACGAAACGTGGTCTCGACAGCCCTTGAGTCGTCGTGGTGCACGACCGCTCGACACTCAGGAGTTCCTCCGTACTTGCTGTAGAATTGGAGAATGGCGCGCACCAACCTAAATGGCATCACACAAGACTGCATCCAATGAGTAGCTAGGTCACATTGACCATCATTTTTTTTACTTGTTCTTTTGTATTGGGACGGGTGGTCATAATAATGGCCGCAACGTCCAGACGGTCGCTTGTATACTAGCCCATCTCTAAACTGCGATATCCCACGCGCTAGAACAAGTCCTAAACTGCGTTTGGCGATAGAAACAACATATCTAAACGGCATCAGCCAACTCGTAAAGCTGACTGAGGTACTGATCAAAACGTAATTGGTCATAATATCCTGGCGCAGCATCCACCGAGCGGAGCGAGATGTCCTAATTGATTGGGTTGAAAATCCACCGAGCGAGGCGACGTAGGTCACACTCTCGTTCGGCTCTAACGTGCACCAAGAGCGCCGCCTGTGAGGCCCCGCTTGACTTGTGTATTAATAATTCACCGCGGTTGACAGCAAGCACAGCAAAACATGCCGTTTTGCAGCAAATCCATTCAAGCCATTGTATGCCTTGCTGGTGGGACTCCGTCTCGTATTATTTGCTGGTTACACTTGGTTTTATTAAACATCATTCTTTCTGGGCGTTGCTGATCAGCAAATGCGACAGCCAATTTACCAGCTTGCTGTCTCGGTCCGGGAGTTTATTTGCTGATATTCTGTCATCGGTGGGTAAACTATTTTGATTTGCTGTCTTTAGGCTCGGTCTTATATCTGCCCACAATAGCGGGGTGGGATGCCTGCAATTTCGAGAATCCGCAGGACTTCCAACCCGGTGTTTTAGACAAGAAGGAATGATTTATGGTGTCCGCAATTTGCGGTCCGCGGTGGAGATGCCCTTATCCTGAGATCATCACGCTTTTTGCCATTTAGCCCTTTTTGGAATATCACTTCAAAGAGGATTTTATTCAGTACATGTCTGATCACCCGATTTATCCGAAGGCGCTGGTCCGATACTGGTTTCATCCAGGTGAGCTTGCAAACTTTTTTATAGTCGTATCCCGCTTGCCTGTACGCTACATGCATTTCTGGTACTGTACATGTAATACACACTCGTCAAAGGCACCAGTATCTTAATTCTAAGCTGGAACAAACTGCGTGTTTTGGGCAGTTCAGACAGAACCTGCATATTATTAATAGAATAGACAAGTCGATTAAAATGTATAGTGCTTCGCAGCTTCGAGTACTGCGCTGCTCGTGAAGACTGCTCCGTGCAGTGCATCGCAACAAAGAAGAAAATGGTGCCAAGTTACTTTAATAATTAAACTGGAAGTAACTCTTGAATCCTTACGGTTTTACAACGTTGTCAGCTGGTGACAGGGGCGCGTGCCTCTCGTTTTTTTCATGTCGAAAACCTGGATGGAGCACAGCGACGCCTTTTACATGCAAAGCACATCTGCATCAACACACTTGTATTACATGTAACCGAGCATGATTCGCATACAGTGTAGCAGTACTATTGGTTGCAGCTAGCTCTGAATACGTAGGAAAGGTGTTCCGCGACGAGAACTGTGCTCAACAGCTCTAAGGTAGGACACTTATCTGAAGCGTTTTGCTCACTGGAAGTCTCGCTGGTGCCGGTCACCGTAGATGCCGTGAGCATGAGCGTCGATTCGAGAGGTGGTGTCTGGCGCGTGCCTCGATCCAATCACGCCGCTATTACGCGTGCCCTTCAACGTCCAGTTTTTAGTCTCAACGGGAACGAACAGCAAAACCAGGGAAGCCAAGCACAACCACGTGATGATGTGCATGCCGTGCCTCGTGACCCTGTAGCCTGAACCACCAGCATTGCGGTGATTTTTAAGCTACATTTATCTTCACGTGGCAAGTGCTCCAGCTATAGCTTGCTATGTAGCTTTAAGCAGCTCTCATATACATGTAGGTACTCCAGCAAAAGGCTCAAGCTGTACTGCGACCTCGACAGTCGAGTCGACTAGCATAATGGTGCCTAACTGATTAGATTTGTAAAGAAGGGCAAATCTCATGATTTATCTTGAAACCACAAGTTCTTCAAAACAACATGTACAGCGGTATTGATCCCTACTCTTGGAATACCCTCCGACAGTAGTAAAAATGTCGGCAAGCAATTGGCATTTTATCTGTGAAAAAATTAAAAGGAATACTTGGACACCCCATGATAGGAATTTGTTGATTACCGGTGCTATGACTTCTGTATGGAAAATTTTCATTGGAACGTTGCCCTGTCACACTTTCGGAAGAGTCCTCCCTCTCTGCGGAGATTAGAAGGTTAATCTTCACGTTCGGATACAGTGTGCACTGTGCAGGTCATCTTGCGTTACACATCTCGCGGTCACCAAGTTGTCGGATGCAATGCCAGCAGTCATCTCCACACTCAACGTCGCCTTGGTTTAAAACTTCAATGAAGCTCATTTCTCAATCTTCCAAGCGCAATGGAGGCTCCTGAGCAAGTCAAGAAGAATTCGTACGCAGAGGTCAAGTCACCCAATGTGGAGAATGCCATTTCGCTTGGTCAGCGCGAAAATGATGCTCAGCGTGCCCCTCGTGGCTCCGTGTCTGTGTATTCGTGGGAAAACTTCGGTATGGCTGCCCACTCGGCTGGTGTCGGTATCGTGAACAGTACCATCAGTGGTGTTGTCTACGCGGCGCTGAATAACTATTTGCACATGTCTGCGACTCTGGTTGCAACGGCGGTTGCACTCATCCAGTTTCCTCGCAGTCTCCGTGTGTTCACCGGTATGCTAACGGACACAGTTCCGATCTTTGGTTACCGTCGTCGTCCGTACATCGTGATCGGATGGGGAATGACGTTCCTGTCGTGCTTCCTCATGGCGGTGTTACCTCTTGGTGATCCGTACTACGGCGATCAATCCATTGCTGACCTGGACACTGCTGAGCTCACCCCCGAGCAGCTCGCGACGATCGACACGGACGCTCCTAACCGCGGTATCAAGATGATTATCCTGATGATGTTCGCTAACTTCGGTACCGTCCTCGCGTACAGTGGCTTCAACGGCACTATGATCGAAATCTCGCAGCAGGAGCCCGCTCATCTCCGCGGTACCGCTATGGGTGACTGTGACGTTGTCTTCTACTGGTTTGCGGTTGTATCGGCCTTCTTCACGGGTCTGGGTCTCAACAGCGAAGACTATGGCGGCACCTTCTCGTGGTCTGTCGGCTTCAACGCGATCATGGGCGTTTGCGCCGCTACGTCACTCATTGTGCTGCCGTTCTGCTGGTGGTGTATCCAAGAAGAGCGCGTCACGTCCGGTCCGTCCAAGTCGGTCTACACGTTCCTCTATGAGCTGCTCCAACGTAAAACTATCTACCGATACATCGCCTTCCGCTTCTTCTACAATGTGATGGCCATGATTTCTGTGACTTCGGCCAGTGCGATCCAAAGCACGTGGGCTGGCGTTGAGCCCATTAATAACGGTATTGCAACCATGTTGGCTGCTTTCCTGACTATGCTCGGAACGTACTTGGTCAAGAAGTACGGTCTTGCCTGGAACTGGCGCTACATCATCATTTTCGCTCAGATTCTTGTCGTGAGTCTCGACATTATCCCGACGATGTTCACGATTTGGGATGTCGTTCGCAGCCAGTGGTTCTGGCTTGGTGTTCCCTTGCTCGAGAAGATCCCATTCGCCGCAACTGACTTTGTCGGTGCTCTGTTCATGCTCGAGGTCGACAGTGAAGACTTCGAAGCCACTCTATTTGGTTTGGCTGTGACCTCGCAGCGTGTTGGTATCCCGTTCGCGACGGTGATCACAAAATCTATCGACGGCTACTTCGACATTGAACGCGAGTACATTCAGCAGGATGACCACCACGTGCGCTCGCAGGTCACATACGCTTACCTGATCGCCTACGCTGTCAACCTCCTTGCAATCGTGTTCGTTGTGCTGCTCCCGCGCCAGAAGGAAGAGCTTCACCGTATGCAGCGTGACAATGCCACGAATAAGATCATGGGTATCGCTACCATCTGCGTTCTCATCTTCGCTCTGGCCTGGTCGCTCATGACCAACATCCTCAGTCTGTTCGACTCGACGAGCTGCCTGCGCATTGCTGGTGGCAGCGGATGCTAGATCCGTAAGTGTTCCTAACGTTGGCCATGGCGTTAGCGCGTTAGATATTGTCCAGTCCTAATAAAGCAATTATCCTTTTCCTCGCAGTTTTCCCATTGTTCTTCCCCAAGGCTCTGGATCGATCGCACTGACAAACAACTTGTTTAGTTAACCCCTTAGTTCCCGGCCGAAAAGTCAGGGGTATATTTTGATCTTATGTTGGAGCTCCAACATAATTTAATATAGGAATTTGTATGGCCCCGAATTTCGTCCAGCTATGCAAATGGATAGTGCAGGGTTGCTAATGGATAAAAACGAGCACATCCATGTTTCATGTTGGATTTTCTCAGTTGTACTGCTGCATAAGATGACTGATGCAACATTGTAAATGGCCTGTTTATTGAGATCATTGTCTGTGTAACATTGCACACGTCAAGTAAAGAAGAAATAGCCAATAGAAGCAAATCAATGTAACCACTATTCATTTGATTGCACACGCAAACGGCGCACACTACGATTGCTCCCCCTCTGCAGCAGCGTCTTTGTTCGGGGCCTGGTCATCGGCATCGCCGGATGCGTCAGCGTCGGACCCACCCGCTGCTACTTCACTCGCGCACGCCTCACTGCCGCTCGCATCACGTCGGCGGTGTCGCTTCTTGCCTGCACGCTCCGCTGGCGCTCGGTCGCGTATCTTGTGGTCGCGTAGCAAGCGGCTCGGGATGTCATTCCCGTTCTTCCAGTCGAAATGCCATATCTGAAAGCACGTGCGCTCCCTTTCCTCCCTAACAACGTTGCAGAGATACTTCCTGCGGCACAACCTACAGTCAGCGCTATCACCGTGTTAGTATCAAGCATGAACAGCATGTACGTACCTCTTTGGCCCTGCAGAGCATTCTTGACAGTAATACTTCGTATACTTCCGCGGCACCACCTTGTAGATTGCACACACTTTGCAGGTTCTGTGGCGACGCTTCTTTCCGGTTTCAGTGTCGGCCTTGTCTGGGTTCTCCGCCAGTTCGTGGCCATCATCAATGCGGTCTGAGCCACGTCGCTGCTCCTCCCGTCTTGGCGACGCTCCTCGTGCAGGTGAAGCGGCTGTACGCTCCTCAGCGGAGGTGGATTTCTAGAATAGGAAACATAACCAACATAACACATATTAGTAAATGCATTTATGTTGCCAAGCCCATCATAGCAACTTACCTCAATCTCAGCGAAAGAGTTTTCATCAACAGCAAGTAGTTGTTCCATGAGTGTCTCGAAGAATGCGGAATGCTTCGGGGATTTGTGCCCATTGGCACGCTGGTTGTGTCGATACACAATAAAGGCGTTCACCAACGCCATGTCCAGCAATCCGAGAAACAAGGTCTTGTAGTACTTTCGTGATTTGTACGAAAGCTGCACGCTGTAGCGTTGCATCCGGAGCTGGTCGTGCACATCAACACCTCCCATGTATCGGTGATAGTCACGAACCAGCTCCGGTGCCGGTAGCTCTTTCATCTGGCCTTTGATACGCCGCACTACAATAAAAAAGCACAATAGTGAGCAATGATACATATATATAAACACACAGGCTTACTTACTGACACTGACTGTTTCTCTGCTGCCACCACTGCTCAGCATGTGGACGGGATTGCGGTCCATCCACATTGCTGCGGTTATCTGCGGAAAAAGCTTATTTTCAGCCAGCTTGATTGTCCCCTGTGGTGGTACTAGCTCTCTCACACCATTCACGGTTCTGTAAGACTTGTCAGTCTTCACATCCTTCGCGTACCCTGCCATACGCGTCTGGATCGTACCCGTAATGTACATCCGTCGCTGCAACAGCTCCAACGCCAGCTTCACCGACGTGTAAAACCGGTCTGTGATTACCAAACGCCACGGGGAGGTCGGTGATGGCGGGCACAGCGCGTTCATGTTCCTTAGTACGGCAGCCTCGCCGCAATTATTATCAGCAGGAATCGGAGTCCGGGGATTACTCTTAGCACCACAGTACACCTCGAATCTGAACAGTCGCACAAACGCACACGATATTAGTAAAAGTAATAAATATGTTGGATTAGGAAATTCTCCACAATGTGGATGTTTGCCCGTCCAACATAAGCACTTAGACCAAAAAAAAGGTGGCAAGCATTAGCTTGCCACCTTGAACGCACCTCATGCAATAAGCTGTATCTGCACACGCTGCCACGAACACCTTGGTCCCCCACTTGTGCGGTTTGTCCTTGTTGAACTGTCTGGTAGGATTGTAGCGGGATCTTGAAGGCAGCGTAGCTTCGTCAAAGCTAATGACAGGAGGAATCTTGTAGCCGCGCGCAAATGTACGCTGTAAAACCTCGATAACCGGCCGAATCTTCCATACACGATCCGTGCTAGCTTGAGGCGACTTGTTGTTGGAGAAGTGCAAGTATCCCATTATGTGGAAGAACCGGTTGCGGGACATGTACTTGCCGAAGCGTGGCGTTGGCAACGCACCAGCCGGTGTCAACTCCCAGTGAGCAGCAATCCCCTTTCGCACTGGAGACAGCATCCTTGCAATGAGAAGCGCGATGACGCGCAAAACCTCCCACGGTTCTATCGGCTTCACACGTGCTAGTCGCCGACGAATATCTGCGAGGTTCTCTACTTCTCCACCACCACGACGCTGCTTCGCTTGAATCGCCTGCGCACGACCCGGTATCGACTGCGTGTGGTAGCGATTGCTCTCGACGGCAATCTGTCTCCACAACTTTGGCGGTAGGTAGTCGAAGAACAGCGCCAGTGGGTCTTCAGCCACTCCAAGGACGCTCTCAGATGGTCCATAAGGCCCGTCGTAAAGGTCTTCATACGTAGGATTGTCTCCAAATTTGGACTGGTCTACAAATAGCACATCAAAGTGAGTTAGATAATGTTAGCATTATGTTAGACAACGACGGAATAATAGTTGCGTATGCTGGATAGCGTTCAACATAACTTACCATACTCCCAGCCAGAATGTTTCATCTCCGCCAAACGCGCCGCATTCATCGCCACCGACTTGCAGAACGTGTCCAGTAGTTCGGTTCCAACGCAATCGGCTAACTCCTCATCAGAGAGTTCTCCAAGCTCCCAATCTCCTCCCCACTCACTGTCCGCGTCGTCATCGTCTGAATCAGGACCAGATTCCTCTTCTGATCCGAGGCCAGTGCACTCACGTGCACCAGCCGCCATGATGTTAGGATCACCGTCGACTACGCAGGCGACAGGGAGAGGCGGGGCAGCTGACGCAGCACCGGTGTCTGTGGTGTCACTTATGGTGCCTTCAGCTTGAGCTTCGCGTTCTGGACTGTCTTGTAGGACGCGGCGGCGTCGTTTCGGGGATCTTTGCGTAACCGGCGCCTGCTTGTTCGTCCGAGGGGGGCGCAAGGTCTCCACAGCGCCTTGAGCATCTCGCACAGGCGTTAGAAGCGCACTTGAAGCCACAGTTGAAGCCACAGCCATCACCACGTCTGCTACAACTTCCTCCACCTCTGGTTCCACAGAATCTTCCTCATTTTCTGCAACAGGTATTACCTCTTTAGCTTCGTCCGTACTCGCTGTTGCTTCTGTCTCTTTGGGTGCTGCCGGCTCAATATGTGGACCTCTAGACTCTGCTATCTCCATGGCTGTCGTCGTAAGTTTCACCGCCCTCTTCCTAGACTGCTTCTTCAACGCACGCCCCTCAGCGCCATGCTTTGGCTCTGCTGCTGACTGCCTCTCGTCGTCTCGACGAAGGCGACGCTTGTGGTGGTCACTGAGGGCTGCCTTGCACAACCGGGTCTCTTCCGCTGTCAGCGTCCGTCGTGGCATCTTGCCAGACGTCGCCACCATTCTGGTCTGCTGCCCCCGCGGTCGTTTTGAAGTATGAGAGAGTTTTGTGACTGTCGGCCACCCGTTGGTGGTGGGTGACACCGCCTCTCTTTATCTCGTTCAATCAGGAATCCGGTCCAGCTACCCTAAGCCTGTGCATCCGGCCGTTTTAGGCTCCCACTTTTGTCTTGACTTCAGTATTGAGCTTTCCTGCGCTCTCTTGAGATCTGTTCAATACAAACTCCAAGTCAGTTTTTCTCGTATGTTTAGCCGCTAAACATAACATAGATGCCGAAAAAAACTGAAAGAAGCTATACACCTCTTATGTTTAGCGGCTAAACATACGGGAACTAAGGGGTTAAGGGAAACTTTCGGACTGTCGAGTGCGGAATCGGTGCCTTTCTACCATCACTCTGCAAGCCAAGTTTCAAAAGAAGTCTTCAACTTCTCAGATCGTCTCAAAAGACGTTGCGGTTTCTAACATGTACGTAGTAGTAAAAATAAAAGTAGAAGAGATACTTACCTAGGTTTGTCTGGTTCAATTCAAGAGTTACCACCTTCCTACACTCCTGGCAGCAAACTCAAATTCTAGTCGTGCCTAGGCTCTTCACTCGGAGCCATCGTGCCTCTTTTCCGTGCTTATTTCGGGGCGTTTGCAAGCGTCTGGTAGGCATTCCAACACTCGAAGTGAACTTTGCCGATTCCACTGGCCAATTCGTAGAATCGACCATCGAATCGCCCCGGGATCTGTAAAATCGGCTGTGCACAGTGTACGCACTTGGGTGCCACAGATTGCTGGTACTGCTCCCAGCACTCAAAGTGGACGAGGCGTTCCCCCTCGATTTTGTAGAAGCGACCATCGAACTTACCTGCGATCTTGATCACAGGCTCAGTACAGTGCACGCAGCGCTGAGCCGTGGCCATCTGGTACTCCTCCATGCACTCACCGTGGCACTTACCGCCATTAACCTGATAGTACTTGCCGTCAAAACGACCAGGAATTGCAGCAATCGCGTGGCCGCAGTGAATGCATTTCTCGGACGTACGGATCTGGTACGCGTCAATACACTCCGCGTGCACACTGGAGCCGTCGGGAAGAGTGAACATGCGGCCAGAGAAACGGCCTTCCACCACTTCGATTCGTTGGTGGCAGTCTACACAGACAGGAGTATTACGCTCACGGTAGGCGTCCACACAAGCACCCTGGCACACGCGGTCCACCTTTCTCTGCCCGTCTTGCTCGTGCGTGAAGGTGCGGAATGTGCCCGATAGTGCCTTTTGACAAATGCAGCATACAGGCAACGAGCCCGTGTCCGAGACAGGCACCACTGCCGTCGGCTTGGACGTAAAAAACGTCATTGAAAAGCCAAGCTGGTACGGCAGGTGTCCGTCGTAGGTCGCCGGAATGATCACAAACGGCTTGCCGCCCTCTGCCGGCATCAAGGGGAGGTCCAGAACGCAACTACGGTTGGAAATGAAGGTACCTGTAGCCACCACGTCCTGGGAGAGGTCAATCTTGCGCTGCTGGCGTTCGCCATTCTTCACGACAACAGGAGCAATGTACGACGTGTACTCGGTCTCCATCTTCATGCGACGGGATGGCTGCTCCAGGTGAACAATGAGATTGCAGCCATTTGTGGCTGGAGAGAAGAGCTGAACCTGTGGATTCAAGTGCATGGCATCACGTCCACCACTCGTGATGCCATTCCACTCGCCTGACACAATGTGGATGCTCAGACTCGGAGACACTGGGTTACCAATTCCGTCCGGAAGGGATCGGAAGTTGTACAGGTTTCGTGACTCCATGACACTAGTAAAGAAGCAGTAAAAAGCACTAAAGTCCATCCAATACGTGTGATCTTCGCGGAACTGGAAGCCACACTCCACCTTCTGCATGCGGGAGAAGCTGTGCCACTTTGGATCTTCGTTAGACCACGAACCCTTCCACTTCTCTGGTTGTTGGTGCGTTCCAATGCCCCAGCTGTTACGCAACTGAACCAAGCGTGTGTGTTCACCCTGGTAATCGAGCTCCACCAGTTTCAAAATACCATAGGCATCAGTCTTGCGGAGCCCCGTGGGCAATTCAGCAGCCATATCTTCGTTGCTGCAGCCCACAAGAGATCCCGCCTGTAGGGCGCTACTGATGGCCTGCCATGCAACATCCTCGTTTGGAAACTTCTCCTGCAACTTGTAGCGAGCAGGAACACCACCGTAGAGGTCCTGCAAAGCGTAACCTTCCTGTCCACCGACGATGGCTTCGTAACCACCGTGAAGCTTCGCGTACGCCTTCTCAACCAGCAGCGACCAGATCTCAAACTTGTCATTGCTGCCCGTGAAGGAACCGAACACCGGCTTGCCGTACTGACTGCACGGGATGTAATCGTCAACAACAACTACGCGACTGCGGTTATTGCGCCAGAATCGCACAGCATACACGCCTTCATCGGTGTACTGCTGCTCCTTGGGAAATACCGTGCCAACCTCGACCAGATCTGGGCGCACCAAGTCGTCACTTAGCTCAGGGAATACCTGGGATAATGCTAGCTGCGAAGTTGATAAAATTGACAGTGCACCATACACGTACGCATCCGCCAGTCTCCCAACGCGCATTTCGCCAGGACTAATGCCCACACCAGAGATACGACTAGCAGCCTTGGACTCACGCGACCGATCAAAGAGACACGTACCCTGTGCATGGAAGTACACGGGCACTAGAACCGAGACACGCGAGATAACTCCAGCCTCCGATCCATCAACACGATAGCCGGATCCTTCTCCAACGCTGGCAAAGGCCAGTGGCTTGTAGTGATCTAGGAAGCACTTCTCCCACATAAGCTCAAAGCGCTGCAGTCCGTCCTGTACAAATTCGCTCATGTGAACTATCATGTTCTTCGTAAGAAGCAGTAGATGGTCACGTTTGCGCTTCGTGACGCCCGTCGTCACCGCATCCTTGGCAATCTTCAAGAACTGCGGGTCGACGGACGTCGGATTCTGACGGATCACCTCAAGAACACTCTCAGCCTCTGCAGGATTCTTGATAGACATACTGCACACGAGTTTCTTGTCGTCATCCAGCATAGTAATCTCCACGTACGCCGTCTCGTTGAAAAAGTCCGTCACGCGCTTCCACTTCCAGATGTATTCTTGAAGATGCGGATACTTTGGGTTAGTTGCATCACGGAAGATCGAAGACGTGTCAGGGGGAAATTGCGGGTCCGTGAATTTGGTTCCGGCCTGCCGGTTCTTACGCAGGATCTGCAGCCACTCACCGTTGTCGGGCATTGTGCGTTGGTTGTAGTAGCGCTCCTCAGCTGGATCAGCGCGTTCATTCTGCACTACTGTGATAGTGTCGTTCACCTTGGTTACGTTGTAACCTTCACTCCGCTCCTGAGGATTAGTGCGGTTACGCTCCACAGCGTTCGAGATCTCCATTCTCGTACTCAATGAGTCCATGTTACGCACGCGAACAACCTGTCGGATATGCACGCCGACACCTTTTCCATCTGGTTCATCTCTTTCACCTTCGGGTTTGGCGCTAACCGACAAATTCGCGAGCAACGTGCTGATGCTGGTACCAGACGGAGCCGCAGCCTCTAGATTCACGGAAGCTGGAGGCTCAGCGGGAGCTGCCGGCGTCAGTGGTGGAGCGTAAGGATCGTACGTAGGAGAAGCTGCAGGTGGCGCGTACGGGTCGTTCACTGGTGCTGCGGCTGCACGAGGTGCGTACGAATCGTTTACCGGGGCCGCAGGGGCAGTGTACGGCGGGTTGTACGGGACACTGGCCGATGTCGCAAAGGTTGAAGTCGTCGATTGCGGATTTGACGCAGGAGCAGCGTACGACGTGGAAGCCACACCGAAAAGGTCTCCCCCATCGCCACTAGTTACAGCAGCTGGGACTGGTGAAGCTGCTGGAGCCGCGGAGGGGTGATGGGCACCGCACTCTCCGCAAAAGACCGCGGTCGAATCTCCGAATGGCTCTCCACATTGCGCACACTTGGTGCTGGTCGTTGCGGAGTTTGACGGCGCAGTATAACTCGGAGTGGAACTCGCCACGGGCGTTGAATAAGATGAGGAAGAATAGGAACTGGTCGACGCCGCTGAAGAAGACGTGGTCAAGGCCGCCGAGTGGGGGTCAGTTGAAGGCGCCGGTGTGTAACTGGGCGTGGAGTAGGAGCTGGAAGTAGCCGCAGTCGACGCTGGCGCGACGTAGGAGCTGAAGTTCGAGCCAGAGGAGGTGGACGTTGGCACAGCCGCCGGTACCGCAGCCGGAGGGGGAACGTCTTCACGAGGGGCGCCGCACTCGGCGCAGAAGCGCGCGCTCGCGATCTCGTCGGGTTCCCAGCGGTGGCCGCACTCCCCGCAGAACATGGTGTCGATGGTGGAGCAGATCTGCAAATGAGCCCAACGGAGTCATTTCACTTGATCTGAGTAAGACACAAAACTTGGACGAGCAAAAACTGAACTGGATGACGGCTTCAACCTAAAGTTCAGGTCCTGAACTTCACTTTGCTACATGTACGTGTAAAAGTTGGGAACAAGAACGTTTTAACGGCACATGCCAACATGCAAATAGATACTTAGTATGACCGTAATGGGGTCCGTAGGGGATACGCAATAGTGAAGACAGCTACGAATCACGTCGTGATGCGGCAGAATTGACCAGGTGCGGCATGTTCCCGCCATCGAGCGACGACACTTTGGCCAACCAGCGGATGAGAATTTGAGCCAGGAACTGAGGTAGACGGCGCCGGCGCAGGAAATACCACACACGCACACCGATGAGCACGACAAATGCGGCGCGGAACGTGCGATTCTGCACCCATCCTCGCACAACTAGGAGCACTTGCTGCACACGAGCCTCCACTGCTAGCAGCATCGAACTCTCGACGGGTGACGTCAACTCTTGTTGACGAAGCGTCAACCGCTGCAGATCAGTGGAGTGCCGGACCACATCATCTTCTAGATTTTTGACCAGCGATACCAAGTTGTTGCGAATCTGCTCCATCTGCTCGAGTTGTTCGGTAAACATGGAGCGGTTATCACGTGTAAAGTGCAGTAAATGATCTTCCAGCTCCTCGCGCTTCTTGGCCTCGTCCTCAACACGGTCTTGTAGTTCTCCCAACTCATCGCAAATGCGGGGCAAGCGCTCGAACATGCTTGTCGATCTCCTCACACGCGTAGGCGTGGAAGAACCTGCCTCAGATGGCGTTCTGTCAATGGATGCTTCACTCACCCCCATTGAGCTGCTTCTTGCATCCATCGCACTACGTAGGTTAGCACTGCGACGCCAGTCGTCCACCAGATTGTCCAGAGCCGTCGTGTAGCGCTTCATGGCTTCCTGGCGCGTCATGTTGCCGAGGTTGCGCCATTTCTCCCTGTCTCGCCACAAATATCAACTAGTTAGCATCTCAAACTGGTCTAAGGTCCAGATCTGAAGCTCACCATTTCGACAGGTCGAGTTTGCTGAGTCCAGCGGGAGGTGTCGTGGTAGGACAGGGTCCTGCTGTGGCCTGTTGGTAAAAGGAGTACAAGTCTTTCCTGGGCGACGAGTTCTCCTGCGTTAAAATGCGGTGAGGACCGTGGTAGCTCTCCACGAACATCACAGCGCCAACAAAGTCCGTCTCCAGCTGCGCGCATGACTGGCATGCCGAATGTGTGGACGAGGATAGCGAGTGCAAGTCGACGGTCTCTGTATCGTCGGTGTCCTCCACTTCTCCGATAGAAGGCGCAGTCGACAGCAGACGCTCTCGCATAGCCTGCACGCTGGTGGCCTGCGAGACAACGGAGCTGAAGAGCGATGAAGAAGGAGGCACCAGCGACGGCATGGTCACTGACAATTTGTGCTGAAGTTCACGTCGACAATATATTCTCCCCCATTAATAGGGCTCAAAATTACTTACCTGGAATATGACAGAATATTGTTCAATTTCTCATATTCGTAGCAAATTCGTATTTTAGATTAGTATCTCGTTAGATTCAAGGTAGTTTTTGGCTTTGATCTGCACTTAGCGAATATGGTAGTCTATCGGAACGAATGCTCCAATAATTACGCTGACTCGTACTAACTTCACAAATACTACTCCGTATCTTGCTTTTTGGTGACAATATCACAACTGTGTATCGTCGTCGCTACAGTCTTCTTCAGCTCCCATATAAATGGAGCATGAGAGACTAGTCCGCCGACGGTATGCCGTACGAAGCCTTGCCTGTCGATTGGCTTCCGCTTTCTTGTTTGCTTCTCGAGTGTACTTGCTCCAATTTCGCGCAAACGAGTGTCATACTTGGTGTTGTCATCTCCGTCATCGTTCCGAAGAGGCCTCAATCGAATATTAACATTTGTAAGAGCGACACAAGCGCGAAAGTATAGGTCGTAAGCGGTCTCGTCAAACTTCCACTTGTCGGAACAAATTTCTCATAGAGACTTCAATCTACCGAAGAAATTCTCAACAATGACACGGTCATGCGCGAGCTCGTCGTTAAAGCTGGCGTCTTCGAGCGAGAGCGGCTGCAGACGCCCGCTTTTAATGGGGTGAATTGCTCGGTACTCACGCGCCATACCCTGGTAGCCCTTATCGACTAACACCGCCCATTCTTTCGGATACTTGTCTTGTAGTCTCCCTTCGTCTCGCACATTGGCATCACTAGAGTGTTTGTGAAGAGCTCGCGAATGAAATGCTGCGTTCCTGCGAAAAATCTCAGCGTCATGCGTGCTCCCACCGGTGTGCTCCGTGCAATTAATCGCGACACCGTTCGGCAGCACTGACACCTCCACTTTGTAGCCATACAAGTGGTGTTTACCACTGTAATAGCGTTAGCTCTCGCTCATGCTACCGCTGGGTTTGTTAGCATGCTGAAAGGTAACGTCCGTAGCATATCGAGCATACGAGAAGTACTTAAACGCATGCCCTGATCGTACAATCTTCCCCAGTGTCCACTGGTCATTCGCTTTCTCTACGTACATTTCGTAGAGAATAGGAGACAGTATATCCATAAACTTGCGGATCATTTTCTGAAAGGTGGATGGCGGAATTCTGAAAACTCGAGCAACGGTGTCCCATTTTCCAAGATGTTTGAGCGAACTCAGCGTTATAAAGAAAACGTCGCGCGCAGCGTAGCGGCATTTTTTACCGCGGCCCACGTTCCACTTCCCCTGCAAATGAGGGTACACAGCTGCTCAAACATGGTCGAACTCCTCTGGCGCAAAGTTGGTGAGCTTGAGCACCCCATCGGGCCCTTCAGCTTGTAAGCAGAAGTCAAAGACGGACGGCAAAGTTCCCACGCCGGAGTTGTCCCCTTCGTCATTGTCGTCTCTGCGGCTGTGTACGACGATTTCAGCGACCTTTGCCTTGCGACGTTCCTCCCGCTCAAATAACTCGGCAGTGGAGGCACGAAAGTCGGCCTCGTTGAGCGTCTCAGCGGTGCAGTCTTGGCGGTCTTGGGAGTGTACCATAGTGGCCTAATATTGTAGATAGAAAATTCGGAAATGACCGAGGAACTGCATTTTACGTCTTGCATTATCTCAGCAAACAGATAGGGCGAATAATGGCTACTATCTCTTCGCATGAACTATGAAAATATATAGCGATCAAATCATCAGATGTTTTCTATCCACATGTGTAAACTCCATTCCAGAATTGTACTACAGCGTTCCAGAATTCTAGAATGGTACTATTACACATACTCTGTGTGAACGAATGAGCTCTAATGACTATCATTTAATTAGATAGGAAGATATGTGCACCACAAATGTATTTGTTGAAGAACAAATCGCGATGGTGTCAACTTCTGTGGCCGTGGCAGCTGTGGTGCTGCTGTCCAGCGCGCTGTTGATGCTGGGGGACCGCGTAGACCTCCCCCCGCTTGAAGCGCTTAAGCAACAGTGGGTGACTAGTAGCGGCTACGATCTGGCGGATTTGTCTGCACCCGTGCTCTACGGACAGCCACTTTTGGCACTTGCCTATGTGGCTCGCTTACCTGTGCTTGGCCGTATCCTGTGCAACCAGCTAGCTAAGGACAACAAGATTGTTGAGGCACGCAAGTTCGCAGCTTCTATTCCGGACTTACCGCTGTACTACCCGTACCTGGAGCCAAATCAGAGCGACTTCCGTCACGGTGAAGGGCCGCTCTCGCTAGAGGATTTTAGCAAGAAAGGAGTGAAGAGCAAGAACGCCGACGCTTTCAAGCACTGGAGCATTGCTGACTACACGTCACGCTACATCTCCGGAGAGGTGACGCCTGTGCAAGTGGCTAAAGCTTTACTAGCTGCGGTTGAGAAGAACCAGCAGAGTGAATACCCTCTTAATTTGTTCGTGGAGAAACACGATGAGGAGATTCTGGCGCAAGCCAAGGCGTCAGCGGAGCGCTATGCGCGTGGGAATCCCCTAGGTGTGCTGGATGGCGTGCCGGTGGCTATAAAAGACGAGGTGCACATAAAGGGTCATCGTATGTTCACGGGCACATCTTTCCTGGGATACGAAGAGGAACCTGCGACGATGGACGATCCACCAGTTGCTAGACTTCGGGCCGCTGGAGCAATCATTTTAGGAACGACGAACATGCATGAGATCGGCTCAGGTGTCACGGGGTACAACATGCACTACGGCGCTGTTCGCAATCCGTACAACCCAAAGTGCTACACCGGTGGGTCTTCCAGTGGCTCTGCTGCAGCGGTGACATCAGGTCTGGTGCCGTTGGCGCTGGGCTTGGACGGCGGAGGTTCCATTCGCATTCCTTCCTCAATGTGTGGTGTGGTCGGTATCAAGCCCACTTTCCAACGGATCCCTTCAGCTGCCGCCGACTGTCCTTCCGTTGCTCATGTGGGCCCGATCGCAGGTTCTGTTCGTGACGCTGCTATTGGCTACGCCATCATGAGTGGTGGCGACGAAACTAGCTTCCTTCGCGGCATGACGCAGCCACCCGTGGACCTGCACTCGTTCGAAGATACGTCTTCGCTTAAAGATGTTCGCATCGGATACTTCAGCGACTACACGAACCACTCGTCACCTGAGATTGCTGAGGCGGTCACCAGGACGCTCAAAGCGCTGGAGACTCGCGGAGCGGAGCTGATAGAGACGCCGTTACACCATCTGACAGCCATTCACGTCGCCCACTCCATCACCATTACGTCCGAGTTTGCTCAGAACCTGGACAAATTCTACGAGCGCTTCGGTGAGATGTCTCCAGAAGTGCAGCTCATTCTGACGTTCGGTCGGAGCTTTACAGCCATGGATTTTCTTGCTGCACAGCGTGTTCGCGCGTTCGCTCTACGTCAGTTCCAGGAAAATGTACTGAGCAAAGTGGACGCGTTCGTGACGCCCTCGACCGGTATCACCGCTCCCGAAATCCCACTCGAGGCTCTTGCAGTTGGGGAGCTAAACGCGGCCCAGCTTGGAAACATCTTTCGTTTCAGCGTGTACGGCAACCTCATTGGCGTGCCAGGCATGTCTGTGCCGATCGGCTACGACTCGCGCGGATTGCCCATGTCCATCCAGTTCCAGACTGCCCATTGGCAGGAGGACACGATGCTGCGTCTTGCCCACACCACTGAGAATTTGTATGCCAAGACACAGAAGAAACCACAGATTTACTTCTCCATACTCGACGATGCGGCCAAGCAGTCCAGCGACTAACCGTAAATTACAGTTGAAGTTGTGATGCAGTACAGTGTAATGCATTACAGCTTCAACTTTCACCCTTTTCATGTTTCCCGCCAAAAAAGAGCGATTTTTTTGCAAAATTCTTTATCCAGCGCAATTGTCACTTTTCGTAAGTATCGATGGAGGCTGTGCCTGCGGACGAGACCTTTGTGCTCATCATGGGCCTCCGTGTGGCCTTCCCTGCTGGCAAGAATCCATTCCCAGCTCAGCTAGCCGTCATGAGTAGCACGTTGTCGGCGCTGAAGCGCAAGCAGCACGCGCTGGTGGAGTCACCTACGGGATCCGGTAAGACGCTGGCGCTGCTCAGCTCGTGCCTCACGTTCCAGCGGACTATATGGAGCAAGCTATGGCTGAGTATTACCAGAAGAGAACGCAACAACGCCAACAACAACGACAACGAATACAGCAGCTCAGAGCCTTGCAAGAGCAACAGCAACAACTAAATCATGAACAGAGTCAGAGTCAAACCAGTCCGATTGCAGGCGGGGACGACGACGCGTTTGAACTTCTGCAACGCAGTCTTAAGAGATTTAAACGAGAAGACAGTACCGGTACCGCTGTGGACGTTATTGACCTTACTGCCGATAGCAGCTCACAGGGGAGTGCACCGCCGACCCCGCCCGAGACGCAGGAACTGTACCAGGAGAGTCAGCAACAATCACAAGAAGTTAAACAGGAGGCTGAAGATGAGGCTCTGCTCGGCGCTAACGAACTTCAAAGTGACGAAGCGCCGGCCCCCCCAAAGATTTTCTTTTGTTCTCGAACACACTCTCAGCTGACACAGGCGGTGAACGAGTTGAAAGATTGCCCAGCTTCATATATGCGAGCAATTCCTGGATCTACCGAGCTTCGATCGTGTGTATTGGCTGTAAAACGTTTGTTGTGTGTAAATGAAGATGTAAACAGTGAGCCAATGCTCGTAAATGAAAAGTGTCAGGAGCTGCGAATGGAGAAGGAACGGCGACGGATGGCAGGAGACGAGGAGGGTGAAGGGGGATGCAAGTATAACCAAACGAGCTTCAGTGAGCTTCGTGCCCAGTCGCCTCAAGTCTGGGACATTGAAGACATCACTAAGCTGGCGTCGACCTGCGAAGAGTGTGCGTACTTCTTCTCCAAGAGTAAACTCGAGACCGCACACATTGTTTTCTGTCCATACAACTACATACTGGACCCAGCTATCCGGAAGGCTGTCGGCATTACCTTGCACAACTCCATTGTGGTGCTGGACGAAGCTCACAACGTTGAAGACACGTGCCGTAGCGGCGCCAGTCTCGAGATCACGGATAACATGTTGGGTAGAGCTATCAAGTCTTTCGACGACGTTATCTGGCAAGGAGATGAAGGTTTTCAACCCCCAGCTTATGATGCAGTGCGCCGCATGTTGAGCTCTGTCGAAACCTGGTTCGCAGTTAATGAGGAACTGGTGCGAGACCCCGAAGACGTTGACGATGACGATTGCCACGTGCTTTGGAGCACAGAGGATGCCTTGGATGTGCTACGCTAGTGCAAGCTAAGGGAAGTGTCCGATACCGACATCGCAGAGATCGCACAGCACGAACAGTTAAAGTTAGCCACACCAGGAAAGAAAGTCTTGCTGAGTAATAGCGCCTTGAACACTGCCACAAGGTTGATTTCCGTGGCAACCTACATGTTCAGCGACAACTGCAAGAACGCAGACGACTTCAAGCTGCTGATTACCAAGAAGATGAGGGTAAATGACGAGGGAGAAGAGATCATTGATACCAAGCTGTGTATCTGGTGTCTAAGTGCAGCGGTGGTGTTTGCAGAGGTAGCGCGAAACTCACACAGCGTGATCCTGGCATCGGGAACGCTTAGCCCCATGAATTCGTTTGCCGGGGAACTGGGTGTGGATTTCCCGATCCGTCTTGAAGCGAACCACGTGGTGAATATGCGCAAACAAGTGTTTGTTGGCGCGCTAATGAACGGACCAGGAGGCGTCGACTTGTTATCAACTTACAAGAATCAGCAGAATTTCCAGTATCAAGACTCGATGGGATACCTGCTATTGCAGTATGCTCAGATGATTCCCGGTGGAATCCTCATGTTCTTCCCATCGTATGCGCTGCTGGGCATATTGAAGGCACGCTGGGAGCGGACGGGGATCTGGGCCAAACTAGTAAAGCACAAGAAAATGTTCAGCGAACCTCGCCAGGGTGGCAAATTTTTTGATGAACTTCTGGACAAGTACAAGAACAGTATTGCTCGACATGCTGCTAGCCAGGATGCACCGAGTGGATGGATGAATGACAATGCGGAGCCACGAGAAACCGGGGCGATTTTCCTTGCCGTTTATCGTGGAAAAGTAAGTGAAGGTATCGATTTCTCGGACGACAACGCGCGAGCAGTGCTCGCTGTTGGGATTCCGTTCCCTAATTTTAAGGATCTTAAAGTCGCGCTAAAGCGTGAGTACCAAGACAACAAGTCACGCGATGATCGGAGGCTGGTGAATGGTTCTTGGTGGTACAAGCTTCAAGCGTTTCGAGCCCTTAACCAAGCTCTGGGTCGTTGCATTCGACACCGGTGTGACTACGGTGCTATCCTGCTGATCGACTCGCGACATCGTAATAACATACACGGGAACTCGCTTTCCAAATGGATGAGACCACACGTACAGGAGTTCCGGTCCTCGGAAGAATGCAACTCTCTATTCGCCGAGTTTTTCCAGCGGAATCAAGCGGAGATGCCGGTGATAAACCCTGCACCAGAGCCTGAGCCTGCTCCAGCGCTGTTGGTTCCGACACGAGGCCCGCTCGTATTGGAATATGAAGAGGATATTCCGATTAAGGCAGAGGCTTAGACTGTGCCGTAATGGGAAGTATACAAGCATCATTAAATTTGAATTAGTACTAGTAGGCGAGGTGGTGAGGGCATTTTTTGTTTGTTTTTTATGCAGCACATGTCGCAGGTGGGTTGAACAGGAACTTGTGCACGGCCAGCGGGATGAGAATTTGGCCTGCGCAGCAACCTTGGATGTCGTTGGATGCGTACTTAATAGTCAATGCCAGCAAGTCTTGGAGGAATTTCGTGAGTTTGCGCGCAATGCGTTCATTGCTGACGAACATCAGCATCGCTGCACACGGATTCTCTCCAAGCACAAACCAGTTTAAAATCGCCGAGCAGAGTTCGCAGCGCTTCCCTGAGTGTGCCGAGTCCACAATGTGGTGGAGTTCATCGGCAGCATCTTTAAAGTCGGATTGTTCCTGGTGGGTCGGCACTGCGGGCTCCGTCGTTGCAATTGAAAGATCGGAGCAAGTAGATGTTGAGCCCATGATAACTTTAACTGCGTATCGTGTCTTGCTGCCCTTTCCGGAGGCTGAAATACTAACCGCGTCGATCTTCTTGGGATCCTCCAGGGCGTTTCTGCGAGCCGATGCTCTGGCAGGCTCTGGGTGCGAAGGTACCAGCACTTGGAGCTTCGCACCCCATCGGTCCGATAGACTTGGTAGCATATTCCTGAACTGTCCTTGGGTTGACTTCGAGTGAGGGCCCAGCAGATTCGAAAATGAACCTTGGGCGACAAAAGCGAATTACTCTTACGTGGAAGGATGGGTCATGATGCTCCATGCAACCGGGCCAATGGCATTGTTGCTTGATAACCACGCCTTCTTTTGGTCAAGTTACGTGGAGATATCGACTCCTTTCATTCGATTGTTTAGTTGTACCAAGTGTCATCCAACATCTAATCTAACAAATTTTTAATTTGGTACAAGGTCGGCTATATTAAAATTAATTCCAACATGTCTAATATTTAAATTAATTTCAGCATGTCTAAGAATTCAAATTAGGTCCGTTAAATTAAAATTAATTCCAACATGTGTCAATAAATAATTATTAGAAGCTTGGCATGTTTGTGTGCAACATGATATCCTTTTGGAGTTGCTAATATTTACTGAGCTCGGACACGGTAAAATTTCAAATCCATATATTCACTTGGCAAAAATGTATCTTCGATTGCTATCAAAAAGCTTGACTGAGTAAGAGCGTCCTTGCTCACATCTGCTCATCACCTAAGTCGTCTAAAATTGTTGATTGGCGTGTTCTCTTGGCCCGGTATTTTTCCTGTGCTAGTCGGCGTTTCTCTTTAATTTTTGGACGTATTTCGATTGTGATTACCGATACCAGCCCCATCGATACTTGGTTGCAAAGCTCTTTGACTTGGTCGACGTACAACTTTGGGGCTAACAGCTTGATGAATTTGGTGACCACTTTCGTAAACGTGGTTGTCGATAACCGAAAGAGCCTGGCATTGCTCTATCGAGTCCCGCCTTCCTTCAGCGTGACCAGTGTCATGAACAATGCAGCCTTAGATCTAACGTCGAACTGCTTCCCCCCCCCAACACCATAATTGACCATGACGAAGTCCCGTGCAGAAAGCCAGAGCTCGTGGAACTTTCGTAAACGAGAAATAAGTTATGTCAGAGATGGCAGTTGGACCCATGCTGTTCAGGAATGGTGTATCTGAGACGTCCGCGTCGACCTCATGCGGACGTAAAGTCGAGTACTGACCAATGTCTTGGTCACGCTCAATCCGGCGCTCCAGAAGTTCAGACAGGACAGACTCGACACGGTCACGACCCGCTTGGTGGGTGTTCCGAGTAGGTTGACGAGGCATTCCTGCGAATAACTTGGTCTTGCATGTGATAAATGAAAAAAACTGCGCAAATTGATGAATGAACTGCTCTCCCCCAGGGAAAGCTAGATATTCAGGAGAGACTTACTAAACCGCATGGAAACATCTCTTCCGTATTAGAGCAATAACAGCAAGCTCGATTTGTTTTTCTCATACTTACCGTGCAATATTCCATCTGACTAATATCCCATTGAGGCCAAATTGCGATTTGGCGATCCCATAAGGCGCCGAAACTCGAGAATACTGAGCGTCAGTGGTAGGTCAAGCCCCTGGTTCCCGACGTCATAACTTACGCCATACGAAATCCGCTATGTCGTAAGTTACGACATAGCGGGGGTGACATTAGAAAACTCTATCGACAATAGTTTATCCAAGATATATTCAACTATATAAGATGCGAGAGACCTAATGAGCAGTGCACAAAAACTTAACAGCGGGAAGGAGGTACGGAGAATGCGACACGTGGGATACATTGGAAGACCGTTTGCGTGTCATTCTAGAAATTGGCGAATTATAAAAAAATGGCGCGCATCCGATTGACCAAGCGCGGGAAGACGGCTGTCGTCGCTGCAGCCGCGAGGGATACCGATTTCCGGTACCTGTGGAGACAACTACGGCGTGTTGGCTGGACGGCGAAGCGCCCAACAGGGATAGAAACTGAGTGGAGGTACGTGGCGCCGGATAGCTCTAAGGTGTTCGTCGGTGAGGATGCCGTCGTCGTGCGTGCACTAGAGTCTGGATTGCTGGCTGAAGACGAAGGCGACGAGGAGTCAGAATTGTTGGCTGCGGACCAAAGCGAAACGGAGTCAGGACTACTGGCTGGAGGTCATAGCGAAGAGGACGAAGGCAACGCCAGCAGCACAACTACGGTAAACGCCGAGGACGGCATTGTTGGGGCTTCTCAGATTGATACCAGCACGAAGCTGTCACAACGCACCCTGGACGATCTGTTTGGTTCCGAGAGTGACTCGGACGTCGCTCTCTCGCAGGCTGCAGTCCCACGAGCATTTGATTTGTCCCCTGGAGATTTTGAAGATGCTGGGTCAGAACACAATGCAGCAGCAAGTCTGCAATTGCTATCGGAAGCTTCTGCAGTTGAGAGCGAGGCTGATGTGGGCGATGATCGTGCTGCCACTCCTGGCCCAGTGCTTCGGCCGACCATCAGTGTGAAGAAGGACATCAATTTTGTCCCAGAAGATGAAAACTTGAGTTCGTACGAGAGCTTTAGCTCTGGAGAGAGTGATATAGGAGGAATTGAAGACAGCAACGACGGTGCCGCCGTTGTTGACACACCAAGTGACGATGATGTTTTGTCTGATGACGACGCGCCGCAGATGGACAGTGCCTTTGTCGAGTCCCTTCTGATAGGAGAAGACGCCCTCAACAAGAAAGCTGCAGATGCGCGGTCAAGTGCCCTACGACCTACGAAATAAACACCAGTATCATCCGCGTTTGAAGAAGCGTCAACTGCGTACCCGGGCCTCAACACCACTGAAGAGGCTAAACCCGTCCAGGAGCTGCAAAACGTGTGTCATTCTCCACTTCTCACACTGTTTTACTTTATGCCCAAATCTCTGTGGGTGGCGATCAATGTCGAGACGAACCGGTACTGTATGCAGCAGATTGCGCGCCGTGCCCAAGCCATTCATGCCAAGCAAGCTGACCGGACACGGGAGACTCCAGCTCAAATTCGCCGACGTCTACAAGCTAAACCCGCGTACCAAACACACGAAATCCTGCAAGTGCTGGGGCTTCTCAGTGCGCGGATGATCTGTCCACAGAATCGTCGTTTTGCGGCGCATTGGTCCATGACGGAGGATGGAGCCGCTCCAGCGGGAACGTTCGGCCGTTTCATGGGGAGAAACCGCTGCCAGGACATCCTGCGTGACCTCCACATCGTGGACAACGAGAGAGAACGCAAACGGGACAAGCTCTGGAAAATTCGGCCGATCGTGAACAAGCTCCAGGAGCTTTTCTTGGCGGCATGGTCTCTTCCACCTGTATTTTCTTTCGACGAGGCCGTTTTACCGTGCACTTCGAGGAGAAATACTACCCGAATGTTCATGCCGGATAAGCCTCATCGCTACGGCTCTAATTTTTTTATGGTGTGTGATGCTAGGACCGCTTACTGCCATAGGTATTGTATTTATAATCTATGTCATAACTTACGTCGTGTGAGTTCTATTCTAATATCCTATGTCGTAACATGTAGATTTGAAATGTATGTAGGAAAACGAAATGCAGGTGATACTGGAAACAGTTCATTTGACCATAAGACGGGTGCTGCTGCGGTCGTCAGGAACCTGAAGGTCGTTCTCAGCGCAGACCGTCGCCATGCGTGGCACTTGGTCGTAATTGACCGCTTTTACTCTTCAGTACTCCTCGCTATCGAGCTTCTCGGAATGAGCGTGTACGTATTGGGCACTATTATGACGGACAGACTTGGCTTCGACAAGAACGTCAAAGCGGTACGCAAGACACGACCAGAAAGCACCCCTCGCGGCGCATTTACTTTCTCTCGCTGTGTTGACGTCCCCACCATGGTAGCTTACCACTGGTTGGACAGAAAACCTGTGCACTACTTGTGCACGGGATCAGTGACAGTGATGCCAAAAATACATTGCAGGTATTGGTACTGTTTGCAATACTGAGAAATACTTTATTGCAAGCGCTCTGGGGTATTGCAGTACATATTGCGGCAACGCTGGGAACTGCAGTACATATTTTCCAGCAATTTCGGCGATCCCTTTTAAAGTCGGTTCCCAAAGGTCGCAGTGTTTGCGCGTCAAGTCTTTTGGCGCGAACTCAGAGGCCCATCGAGTGGCCAGCAGCGTTCGCGCCTTCAAAATGGGCGCGAATTTGACCGCTCCACCACCAGCTAGCTCTTATTCTGCTTTTTGCAGCCTTCCCTGCAGACGCCATGGCCCTCCAGTCCAGCCCGCTTTCTATCGACCGCATTCCCGCAGACGTCCGCTTCTACTACGACATATCGGTCGTCGACGGCGAGGTCTCGTACCATTGCCAAAAGTGCCCCGCCAGACCAAAACAGGCTTGGAAGTCCGGATACTCGAACTTGCGGAAGCATTTAACGAGCTGCGTTGGCGCAGATTACGTGGCGAGATAGGAGCAGAGTGTTCGTGATCAACCTAATCCTCTTGGATTTGACCGAGAGCGGTTTCTGTCGGCGAAGGAGCTGAGTGTGTTTCGCTGGCTGGAGTGGGTTATAATGCGCGACATGCCCCTGTCCGAGGTGGATAACCCGTTGACGAGAGGCATCTCTAAGCTGGATCATGTGTGCAGTAACAGCCTCATGCTCTACATCACTCGACTGGTTGCTCTAGCTGAAGAAAGCATTTGTGAAAAACTCCCTGAACACTACGGCATCATGTTTGACGGGTGGTCAGACGGATCGACTCACTACATCGGCATCATTGCCACTTTCATGAACAACGGCTCGTACCAAGAAGTTCTTCTGGGCTGCTCCCCGCCTCTCAACGAAAAGCACTACACGATTGCTGAGCACTACGATCTTCTGGAGTACGTACTATCACTCTACGGAAAGTCGATTTCGTCCGTCGGTTCTGATAGGGGATAATTGTCCAACGAACAAGGCACTAGCAGACTTGGTTGGGGTTCCTCTAATTGGATGTGGCTGCCACAACCTCGACCTCGCCGTGAAATCATTCCTTGAGCGACGCCCTGGCGTTCAAGCCACTATATCGAAGGTTGACGGCATCGTGTCTGAGCTCCAAAATCTGAAGGCAGCTAAAGCGCTTCGTGAACTTACTTCTCTCCACCCGATCAAACGGAACGTGACGC